CGGCTCGAGCAACTTACGTCGTTCTCGAGGAAGATTGCTTTTTATTTAGTGATTTTCACTTCACAACGACAAGCTATACAGGGTGGTTGGTAGCCGGTGGTACAGCCGGAAAGGAGGTGATTCGGCATAAAAAAATAAGTCGGAAATATAGAATAGAATTTTTTTATTTGAGACTCCGTTTTGGAGAAAACCGACTTTTAAAGCCTGCTCGATATAACGTACAATTGAATAGGACTTGGCTGGCGCGTCTGTTCATTGTATTCCGTTTCTACTTACTAGCGTGATGAATCCACGCGTTTCAGATTGAAAAGAAAAAGCCGTAATTCGACTATTCAACCTCTAGCTAATGTACAAAATGAATTGGTTTCACGAATTTCCCGAATTTTCTCCGCGTTCTCGACGTCTTCCTCTTTTTTTAAGCCGCGCTGTTTTATTAATGAACGGCGATAGTCGGACGACGGATGAATGTAAAATGCAAACGGCAAAACGCCCGGCCAGTGAGTCTTGGCAACCGGCTCGGCATTGATATTTACCACGCAACGTTGCGACTCCGACGATGAAAAACGACGATTTGTTCCACGGAAATGTTGCTTAGCCATCGTACACGAAAAAGCATCGACTACATTCGCGATAAGTTTCTCTCTCTATCTCTCGGGGAAATTGCAACGGAACACGTTGCGTTCAGCTGTTTATTTCGGGAGCATTATCATCGTCCGTTAGGAATGCATATAGTGATTACCACGCGTTGTAGGCGGATAACGATGCGAAGGTAATTTTGGACCTGATTTCATCGCCGCTTTCTTCGGGACCGCTCTCGAAAATAATCGCATCAAGGAGCTTGCTGGTTGAGATCGGTGCTTGGATGACGCGAAAACTAATTTTAACACCGTTTGATCGATACATTCGCTTCATTACAACGATCGAATGAACAATTACACGATTGCTTAAACGCCAGGCATCAATTTACGAGCGTCGTACCAAACGTAACCACGATGAACGTTACAAAGCTTTCAATAGCCTTGAATGCATCAATGATTCCCCCCCCCCCCCAAAAAAAAAACCCCCCCCCCCCCCCAGCCGGGAATGAAAAATCCTGAACGAAGTTTGGCCGCCGATTTGGAAACAAAAGGTTGCCCGCGATTTGTCGGGAATTCGGTTTGGAGTGGGCCCGATACGCCGACAAATTGATCGTTGGCCGAGGGTCATCGAACATATGAAAGTGTGGACGTGGCGGCGAAACGAACGGCGAACAGAAATGGTAAATTCCCCTAAGGTTATAACAGGCTGCCTACGCCATTGCCGAGGGAACATATGCGATTGTATCCGTATACATACGTATATAAGAACGTTCATCAGCGGCGGTGCACACTGCGGCCGCGACGAGACCGTATACGTTTCTCGGCACACGCGTGCTTCTGTAGTTTGCTGTCGGCTGGCCAGATCAACAACCGGACGGTGCTCCTCGGGACTAAGCTTCTTTTGCGTTTCAGCTCCTTGGATGCTAACACGATACCGTCGGACAACGATGTTCCTATACGTCGGGAGTGTAGGGGGTCCGGTGGGGTGGTGTTTAAAGTTCAACTTTTAACCCTTTAACGCCCAGACCCTTAAATCGTTACTTCAAGATTGTAAGACTGACATATATGTATGTTGTAACCTGTTATTTTAAAGTCGAAAATATCGATACTAAACAGGCCCATGTTTATTTTATTTTTGTTTTATTTACTTCCGCAGGGAATATTTGACTCTGTTAACTGAAAACGTGGACATCTATTTTATGCCAATCAAACTACGAATCCTTACTGACAATTCTATTCCATTTCATAATATTTTAGAGGTTGCTACCCGTTTATTAAGTTTTTGAACGACGAATCCATACCTCAGGTTCACTGTAAATCTGAGAGTGGGATTATCCTATACTATCTCTCTCTACATTATATTGTAGTATATCCTCACATTAAGAAATCGAATTTATCAGCCTAATGATTCACAAATTTATTTTGTAATAACTTTGTTCTTATCGTCGTTTACAAAGCTACCACTTGTCACCAAAAGTTCTTGCAACAATGTCAAATAAAATTCTTCATGGTGGCGCTTTGTAATTGTTGCGTTGGTAATCGCAACGGTGAACATTCTTAATAAATACTCGACAGAGTGGAGAATTTCCTCGGACAGAAGCGAGACGTGATTGTTTGGTCGGCTTCTTTATAATTTGTAACGCCGTCCTACAATTTTTCGACCGTCAGCTCTCGGGTTTGCTCCTCGTTCCGCAGCACTTCCATCGGAGCTGATGCCCGCGTCGAAGAAACCGGACTCGTTTCGTTCGCATCAGGAATTCTTATTTTCCACAGTGTTCTCGTGGCACTGCCTAATGCGCAAAGAAGTTGCTCGTGCGGCCTTCTCGGAAACGATTACCGGACCCGAGTGCAACGAGGCTCGCAAGCCTGGTAAAACTACCGAAAGGGACTGGTTAGTGCGAAGAAAGAATCGATCGATTGTTGCGTTTCAAGATGGTAATCGACATCGATCTCCTCTCGCGGTGATTGATCCTTTCAGCCTGGAACACGAGGATTGCGTATTTTTTCTATGCAATATTACGAATGCACCGAAGCAAACTCGAGTTCGTTGCACTCATGGAGACATTACTGTATTAATCCTAATAGTAGGCATCTTGTAAATTGTCCGGATGCATTGTGATTATTCCTATTCAGTAAACGTATGTTCCACTACATAAGTTTATGTTATAAAAATCATGTGTCCTTACATGTGTTTAAATTATATTAAAAATGGTAAGCCGATATATCGACTGAAGGCATTTTTCAGAAAACCCACAAAGCCGTTATATCGGCTCTGAAGTAGGTACTAAAAGGGTTAAATGAAAACCAAAATACAGAGCGAAGGTTCTTGTTGAGATCGAAGGAGAATATACTAGCTAGAGCGAAGTAAAGCTTCGCGGCTTGCTCTTCCAGTTCGACGACTAAATTAAGCAGAAGTCTCCAACACATTGGTCGCATAAAATTCTACTCGGGTCCCGGATAAACATCCCTAGCGGATTCACGCGTGAACACGTGTGCCTCCTTTTCTCTTCTCTTCTCTTCTCTTCTCGTCTCGTCTCGTCTCGTCTCGTCTCGTCTCGTCTCGTCTCTTCGCTCCTACTCGAGACCTCTTCCATTTCTTCGCGTCGCCGGTTCATTCGGAGCGAACTTGTGTCGGTCAGTACCGTTTGAAACAGCCGGCGTGAAAGAACTCGTCGAACGCCGCGCGGATGACCCGCGAACCGTCCCACGGACTAATCGGAATTTGTCGCGGGATTGACGCGTGGCCCGCTCGAACGGACGATTCACCACGGATGTCCTCGACCGGAAAATTCACCGATCCATACGGATTCGTTGATCCGTGCGTTTGATCTGTTGCTGGGACTCCGTGTGTGGCGTCGGACGATTCGCGTATCGTTTGGCGCACGACTCTTCCTGCATACAGTGAAATCCAATGATTTTGATCGTATTACGGGATCTCGTATTACGTTCAGGTAATTATCATCCGAACCGCGAGTCCTTCTGTGCATCGAGAAACAAAATGCAAATTTGGGTAACAGTTTTTAAAGTGAACGAAAGTGTTAAATAATGGTTTACAACTTTTCAACCGCTACAGTTATCGTCACCGATCTGACACAATTGTTGTACCAAAGTTGCTCGTAATATTGACGAAACATTCGAAACGTTTGAAACGCGGCATCACGAGTTGCAGCTTGAGTAATTTAAAGGAATTCTCTACCGGACATTGATGAAAAAGAGCTGAGCTTCCACGGAACTAGAAGAAAGGTGGATTCATTTGGAAAAAGGTTGTGACCTGTAAGAGTCACGTACGCGCTGTGGAATCAGCACGCCGGGCGTCGTTTGAATATTAAGAATCGTCGAACAATTATCGGAGGAGGCGTCGGTCAACTCCTTACGGGAGGGGAGGGAATAAAAAGCGTTGTACCACGAACGACGACGTTTCCTACGTACATACATACGTGCTTGAAATACTGAAATGCTGGACGATAGTCGGCCATGCAACCGGTTTGCCAGTAACATTGTTCCGCGTCCACTTGTGCAAATAACGTTCGACTTGTCTCTCTCTCCCTCTCCTTCGTGCCTCTCCGAATTTCGATCGTGACTGAAATCGCGTGTAAATCGCTCGTACGCGTTGTTTGGCAATCGATTTCAGTTTCGAGCCGAGCCTCGGTGAACGTTCTCGGATAACCCTGGCGTCGATTCCGTTTACGTTTGGGGAAGACGCGAAACGTAGAAGAAACTTATCGAAAATTGAATTTTACAAGGAATAAATGTCGAAATATTATCGAAATGTTGGAAAGTGCTTTTTACCGAATCCTCGATTCGCAACACCGTCCACTGAAATCTGAAATACCGCGACGATAACGCTCGAGGTGTCCGAGCCGTTTCAGGCAGGAATACGAAAAGAACCGTTTCGTGAAATTCCTGAGAACGAGCCGTTTGGAAATACGGTCGCGAGAATCGCGTCCAAGGTATCCCGGATAACGAGGCGTTCGCGAGGCAATTTGCTGGAAATGCGTTTGAACCGCTGTAAAAGATAAGGACAAGTGTCTGATTGCCGATATGTTCAATGGAGATACCAAGTGGTTAACGATTAAAAGGGGAAACCTACATTAAGACACATAATAGAGATATGTACATAAACTTACGAGAAGTTTACTTCGTAATACATACAAAGTATTGGTTTAGACAGAAACTGTCGGGAATTTTTCGAAATTTTCGAAAACCTCGAACGAAGGTAGTTGCGCGATAGCATTCGAATCCACGAATCGATACCCGTTAAAGTTGGAAGGATTGGCCCTGGTGTGTTTGAAGGATCTTTAGGGTAGTGGCGCCCAAGCCTGTTGGCGTCCAACACGTTCGACCGTGTTCCTGGAAAAAAAGGTGCTAGTTTTTCTACGTCGGAAGAGGGTTGAACGGGTGGTCCAAATCCCCAAAAGCAGGATGTCCAACTGTTGCGGTTTCATCCGCGGATGCGCCGCGGCGGACACTTATCAGCCGCTGAACTCGCAAATCGCCCGTGGCAGTTCGGTCAAGCTCTCAAAGGACGTCAGAGAAGCTCTCAGGAGTCCAAGGAATCACCGGAGAAAGCCGAGCGTTCGTTACGACGCCGTCAGGCCGGCCGGATCCACAAGGTTAGCGCGACGTACAATTCCTCGCCGTTAACGATCGCGACGGGAGTTGTTTGAACTCGGCCCGGTTCCAACGGAACCGTCTGACGGTGAACCGGGGGACCACTTGTTTCCACCGCGAAATTAATCCTATAATTGCGCATTTACACTTGGCTAGAATTCGCTGGAGCTGATTTAATGGCGCGTGAAGTAGTCTCTTGGATGCTCTGGATATGTACTATGATAAGAGAATTCTTAGGAGTTTTAGAAAAATAGAAGACCAATTGGGCCAAGTAATGCAGAAGCTTACCGACCCTCAAAATTAGAAAAAATTAGTTAAACGCGGTACGGATCCCGTAATTTTGTAATCTTTATTTTGCAAAAAATTACCTACCTATAGAATCAGCTCTTACGTTCTGCAATTATTAATTAAGTCATTAAAAAACATTGTAAAATAACAAGAGGAAATAAAATATACTCGATAGAAGTAAAACTACTTTTTCTTTAAGTTAAAATCTTCAAACTAAATTTACATAGGCTTCGTTTCAGATCATTGAGGGTTGGTAGCTTTCTACACAACGTTGCTCCAATTATAGACGATCTATCGATCTTGGTATTTCTGAATGTGAAGCTTAAAACGCGCGGTCATCGGTAGGTCAATTGAAAGAAATTCTGACAACCCATCGTGATAATGTGACAATTTATTAGCGATATACGAGTCTCTCAGAAAGTCAAACTGACGAAATTCCTCTTTTTACAAACTTCTCAGTTTCATGTACTTTGTATCTTGTAACATTCAATCTACACTGTCTAACGTTCGTAGCGAAACTCGAAGCAGCACTGTCTATCATATCATCGATCTTCTCTACTTTCCGTTTCACGGTGACGATCCGTTTGGCTATCACGTGGCCCATGATTCAACAATATTCGTGTCTCTGACGTTTTCGTCCTCGTTTTCTCTGTTGCAGGTGAGTCACCGTCATTACACCAACGTAATATTCGAGAATTCTACAGATAATATAATCAGGGAACCAACGTAGGAAACTGTTGAATTTCCCAAATCGACAATACTTTTGGCGATCATTCATCGAGCGGTACGGGTACAACCACGAGGAGGAGGAGGAGGGCGCGCGAAAGGGTTGCAAGGGAGAGCACTAGGGGGTTGCAGTCACATGATCAAGCTCTGTCTGTGGAGGGGATGGTCTCGTGATTTTTCTACGATCGCGCGGAAGTTTCCGTTAGTTCCGCAGGAACTCTCGCGCGGTTCGGATGTTCCGGGATTTCTCTCGATCTGTGGGCGGTGTTCCTTCCGGCGTGCGTGACCGGTCGCAATTTCGCGTCTCTGCCACTCGCTCCCCGCTATCGTTCCTTTTCCGTTTACCAGCTACCCTCGCGTTTTATCGTCCTTAAAAGGCCGCCACTCCTAACTCTTTACTTCTTGCCTGTTTCACGATTTCCAGGATATAATTTCGTTCCCGCGACTGCCTCGCATAACGCGTGATTCGTGCGTAAGTAAAATCTTTTCGGAAACTGCGTTTCCGGTGGTCGCCTTTGTCGATCGAGGGAAGACGCGTGAAATCGCTTTTCGAATACTTTGTGGCTTTTAATGCTGAATCACGATGCCCGGCAGAATATTGGATAACGCACGTTGAAACGAAAGAAGTTCTTCACTCTGGCTACCGCAGGGTTTACAGTTTGATAAATAAGGTGATACATACTCGCGTGATTCGTTGAATAATGGTCAATTTATGTTGTACTACATTTCGACGATATTTTTAGAACTGTTTCTGTTTTCTTTAATCTAAGTCGACCGACATAAACGCGAGGTGATGTAGGTTTCGCTTTGCATACGCTCGGGAACTGCACGCGATGCAGGCGTACTACACAAACTTTTGCGTATCGGTTGAACGATATCGGTTTCCAACCATGTGACATATTTCAGCAATTCCAGTTTTTCAAAATCCGTCGTGGAAACAGTATTTTGCCTAACCGACGCTCGACCGATCCATCGGGGAACAATGAGTTACTAAACGACGTGTATCGAATGGTAAAAGTTTGTATCACTGTTTTTGCGGTTCTGGATACGAACCGATACTTCATGTTTTATTGGTTACCGATACATAGTAAACAGGACAAATTTATCCGATCCGCGATAGGAGATTTTACTCGACCCACGCTGTATCGTTTTCACCGATTATGAAACGTCTTCATTCTCATTCGCGCCCCGAAAAATCTCGAATTTCCAGACTAGTTGAAAGCTCCATTAAATTCCCCGGAGTTCGTCGGATCGGCTCCGAATAGGAAACGAGCCTTTCGCGCCAAAAATCGAGCTCTCGGCGCGGCGGCGATACCGTTCTCACTTTTCGAGGATTTTCCTCTTTCTTTTCCATGTTCCCCGAGGCGCCGCACAGGCTTCATCGCGCAAATAACGCGCCGAGGCAGCAACGGCTCTCGGTCCGCCGGAATAAATGAAATTGCTGTCGCGCGTACTCTCCGCCACCGGGCCTCGAAAGCACTCTGATTAATGCCGGAGCATTGTGGAACTATCTCTGGTCCCAGCCCCGGCTGGGTGTTCGGGTTCGGTCCACGACCCTGTCTACAAAGCGATTTCGATTATGGTTACTCCGATTGTCTCGGGACGCAGGCGCCTCGGCCACGTCCTGGCGGACACGTCCCTGTGGAATTCGCTCGGCGATTCGCTGGAAACTCGTGTCGCTCGAGGTTATTACTAAGGACTGGATCGAGGGTTATCTACTGCGAGGTGGATTCAAGCAGGATCGAATGGTTTCACGTTTCTCCGTGAATATTTCGAGAAATCGACGAAAACGTTCGTGAATCTATGGGTTTTCGACACGAATCTAATAAATAAAGGCGACGAAGAATCTCCAATTTTAATTACCAAATTCAGTTGGCATTTTGCAAGTACGATTTTTCATTTTGTCGCCGATTGGATTAAAAGATTACCCGTGATTGATACTTTTCCCGGATGCATGTAACTATATCTTGTTTTAAAACGATATGTTGTCGCTCTAAACGGCACCTCCGCAAAAATAGCAGGCAACGTAATATTTTTACCGCGATTGAATCAGTCCGTAGTCACGTCGTCGAGAGTTTAATTCTGATTGAAAAATTTAGTGCGGTATCTGAACCGTTTGAACACACAGGTATGCCTCATACATAGTGCGATCGATTGCTTTTACAATTAAACATATTGTAGAGAAGCGTATACATTTCGAATTTTCTTCAGTTTTTTCATCTATGTACATACATTTGAAAGGAAATTATGTTTTCATATCCACTCATTAGAATACTGTTAATTTATTGCACATCTGCCAATAAATTGTCACTTCTCTTCAGTTTAACATATAATTTGTAGAATACTTTTGTTACTCGACTTCGAATTAACCCTGCTATTCTCCACGGATCTACAATATGTATGCCGTAAAATGAATTTAAGCTTCTGTTTCAATAGGTATTACGTTTCAAGTATTTATCTTTACTGTTCAATGTATCCAAATTTTCAGTCTACTTTTTGTGTATTTTGTATTTCTTAAGAACCAATTACTTTCACATTTAAAATAATTTTCTCCGGAGGGATATAAATTTTGAGAGGCAAGTGAATAGAACAGTAGGTAGGATTAAAGAGGAATGAACGAATTCGCGCTCGACAAAGTGTCGTAGATTTCGATATTCAATGGATTCGCGATGGATCGTCAACCGACGAAATAACTGCGCGATGATTGCGGTGTGTCACGTTTGTTTATGCGAGGCGAGCCTATAAATATTCAGCGTACTCTCACGACGACCGTTTCGATTCTTTTTTTCCTCCTCGTTTTTCCCCATTCGTTCGCTCATCCGCTCAGAATCCCGTTAGGGAAATTCTCGAAGATCTTTCCAACCCGCTAACGAGTCCGCGCTATTTCCAGCTGCGATTTGCGCACTCCGAAGCGTTGGTGTCGAGTGAAAGTCCGTGCGTGCGTGCGTGCGTGCGTGCGTGCTTGCTTGCGTGTTCCGCAAGGTGTGCGGTACCGATTGCCACGCAATCCGATTCTTGTCTGCGTGCGACTTCGAATCGAATCCCGGGGCGGGATCGAACAGTCGATCTACTTCCATCCCGAACGCTGGATACTACACCGAGGTGAGACTATTTCCTGCGTATTGTACAAGGTGGAGCACGTATAAGCAGGGAACCGCTTCTGTACTGCGTAACTAATGATTTCAGTGAGAAATGTTGCGGATAAAACTTATATGTATATGGTTTCGAGAGAGGCATAATTTCACGTGATTAGACTTTCTGTGGAAGGATCACGTCAAATTGTGCCCCCCCCTGGAAACCGTATAACTTTTGCCTGATATATTTTTCACTAAAATCATTAGTTACACAGTAAGTATCGAAGTAGTTCCAGTTACGTACTCCACTCTGTAGATACACCTTCGTTCTCGTAGGCACGAGTAGGCTTTTTTTATTTGGTCGGACAGAACGAGATAATGCGCGAGACACGCTCGGGAGAAAAATTGTTCCGTTCTGTCTGCGAGATTCACGTCCTGCTGCTTGAAATATATCTCTCAAGATCGTTGTTTCCGGGAGAAAATAATTCCGAGCAAAAACATTGATTCTCGCTTTTGACCTCGAAGTTAGTCTGATAGGTTCCGTTGCATTATTATTTTCAAAACGAGCATCCAAAGCTCTAAATGCTGGTCCAATTGCAGCAAAGAACAAACAGAGTAACAAAAAGTTTGCTCGTCCGAAGCGAGGCGAGCATCGTAAAAGTAAGGAAGAAAAGACGCCGGCAAAGGAAGCTGCTGAACGATGTCCTGCGCGAGAAGCGCGCTGTGAATATTCAACGAGGACGAAATTCTAGCCAATTAGACGCCCCATTGTCATTCTTATTTCGCGTGTCGCGCCATTGTTTCGTTCGCTTGAATCTCTCGACTATCTGGGGAGGTTAGAGGAATACCTCCTCGTTGTACGCCGGTGAACTTCTCTGTCGTTTGTGCAATCGCGATTAATCACGGAATCGTGT